TGAGGCTGGGTTCGGCCTCCATGGAGGCTGATGAACCGACCTGCTGAGCTTTTTCCCGGGCTCGGCTCCCTGAAAAATGGGCTCAAGGCTGGGTTCGGCCTCCCTGGAGGCTGATGAACCGACCTGCGGAGCCTTTTCCCGGGCCCAGCTCCCTGAAAAATGGGCATGAGGCTGGGTTCGGCCTCCATGGAGGCTGATGAACCGACCTGCTGAGCTTTTTCCCGGGCTCGGCTCCCTGAAAAATGGGCTCGAGGCTGGGTTCGGCCTCCCTGGAGGCTGATGAACCGACCTGCGGAGCCTTTTCCCGGGCCCGGCTCCCTGAAAAATGGGCATGAGGCTGGGTTCGGCCTCCCTGGAGGCTGAGGAACCGACCTGCTGAGCCTTTCCCCGGGCCCGGCTCCCTGAAAATGAGCATGAGGCTGGGTTCGGCCTCCCTGGAGGCTGATGAACCGACCCGCTGAGCCCTTTCCCGGGCCGGGATCCCCGGAAAATGGGCTCGAGGCTGGGTTCGGCCTCCCTGGAGGCTGTGTAACCGACCCGCTGAGCCTTTTCCCTGGGCCGGGATCCTCGAAAAATGGGCTCGAGGCTGGGTTCAGCCTCCCTGGAGGCTGATGAACCGACCTGCTGAGCCTTTTCCCTGGGCCCGGCTCCCCGGAAAATGGGCTCGAGGCTGGGTTCAGCCTCCCTGGAGGCTGATGAACCGACCCGCTGAGCCCTTTCCCAGGGCCGGGATCCCCGGAAAATGGGCTCGAGGCTGGGTTCGGCCTCCCTGGAGGCTGATGAACCGACCTGCTGAGCCTTTTCTCGGGGCTCAGCTCCCTGAAAAATGAGCATGACGCTGGGTTCGGCCTCCCTGGAGGCTGATGAGCCGACCTGCTGAGCCTTTTCCCTGGGCCCGGCTCCCCGAAAAATGAGCATGAGGCTGGGTTCGGCCTCCCTGGAGGCTGATGAACCGACCTGCTGAGCCTTTTCCCGGGGCTCGGCTCCCCGAAAAATGGGCTCAAGGCTGGGTTGAGCCTCCCTGGAGGCTGATGAGCCAACCTGCTGAGCCTTTTCCCTGGGCCGGGATCCCCGGAAAATGGGCTCGAGGCTGGGTTCAGCCTCCCTGGAGGCTGATGAACCGACCCACTGAGCCCTTTCCCTGGGCCGGGATCCCCGGAAAATGGGCTCGAGGCTGGGTTCGGCCTCCCTGGAGGCTGATGAACCGACCCGCTGAGCCTTTTCCCGGGCCCGGCGCCCCGAATAATGAGCATGAGGCTGGGTTCGGCCTCCCTGGAGGCTGATGAACCGACCTGCTGAGCCTTTTCCCTGGGCCGGGATCCCTGAAAAATGAGCATGAGGCTGGGTTGAGCCTCCCTGGAGGCTGATGAGCCGACCTGCTGAACATTTTCCCGGGCCCGGCTCCCCGAAAAATGAGCAGGAGGCTGGGTTCGGCCTCCCTGGAGGCTGATGAACCGACCTGCTGAGCCTTTTCTCGGGGCTCGGCTCCCTGAAAAATGAGCATGAGGCTGGGTTCGGCCTCCCTGGAGGCTGATGAACCGACCTGCTGAGCCTTTTCCTGGGCCCGGCTCCCTGAAAAATGGGCTCGAGGCTGGGTTCAGCCTCCCTGGAGGCTGATGAACCGACCTGCTGAGCCCTTTCCCTGGGCCGGGATCCCCGGAAAATGGGCTCGAGGCTGGGTTCGGCCTCCCTGGAGGCTGATGAACCGACCTGCTGAGCATTTTCCGGGGCCCGGCTCCCCGAATAATGAGCATGAGGCTGGGTTCAGCCTCCCTGGAGGCTGATAAACCGACCCGCTGAGGATTTCCCTGGGCCGGGATCCCCGGAAAATGGGCTCGAGGCTGGGTTCAGCCTCCTTGGAGGCTGATGAACCGACCTGCTGAGCCTTTTCCCAGGCCCGGCTCCCCGAATAATGAGCATGAGGCTGGGTTGAGCCTCCCTGGAGGCTGATGAACCGACCTGCGGAGCCTTTTCCCGGGCCCGGCTCCCCGAAAAATGGGCACGAGCTGGTCAAGCCTCCCGCCTCGGCCTCCCCTCGAGTAGCTGGGACTACCTGGCTCATTTTATTTTTGATACACATATTTTTAGTCGTCCAGCTAATTCTTTTCTATTTTTTTGGTAGAGACGGGGTCTCGCTCTTGCTCAGGCCGGCCTCCAACTCCTGGCCTCGAGCGAGCCTCCCGA